AGTAGCAGTAGCATGAAGAGTAGGAGTAGCCGTAGCAGTAGGTAAAGGTAGCAAGCCCAGGTTTCGCGTCGCGTGCCTGTCCGGCAGTGGCGCTGGCGTAGCAAAAGTAGGTTTCACCTCCCGCAGCATTTCACTTTGGTACTGCTTGGTTTATGAGGTTTGCGCCTCAGCCGGTTGCAGTGAAAGCTGTGAGGTTCATCATGGAGCACTATGCCAGTTCGTACTTTTGAAGCTTCTGGTGAGCAAATTCCCCCCGAAAAGACTTGGAGCCTCAGCTGAATCTACAAAACAAAACTTAGTGCCACACTTAGAAAAAACCCAAGTAAGGCGCCCTTCCAAGTATTCAGGCCACTACCCTTATAGTATCCGTTGTAGGATCCCTCACAGTATCCCTTATAGTCTCCTTGTCGTATCCCTTACAGTATCCCTTGTGGCCACCTGCTGCCATCGTGGAAGGGCATACGACCTCGGCGATGGCTTTGGCTGGAGCTAGACCTCCTGTCCGAGCTTGAGCTCCCTCTTCAGAAGGGCTAATTGGGAGGGGCCTTAATCAGAGGGATGGGGTTTTGGAGGTATACTACAATGGCATGCTTGCATTGAGGAACCGTTGGTGGGTTGAACAAGGCATAGTTACAGTATGTCGAACCGAATGCAACGAAAAGCAATTACACGTTCGAGGACAGTCTCTGCAAACAAGCACAACGGCCAAGCTCAGGCAAGCGCAACGGCGCCGACCTGCAGCGCGCAGGCGCTGGCCAAAAGCCTGCACTGCGAAAACGACAGCGGCTTGAAAGTGTCGAGTTCCGTGTCTGACAGCCGGCAGCACATGCTCTGAACACTCGAGCCTATGGGCATCGAAGGTTCTGAGGCGCTTGGTCTCTGCACCTCCGACATGCCCTTCACATTCCCGGATCCCCCCACTCCATGCCACCTCAGAAACCATGCCATCTCCGCGCCGGGCCAAGCCGTGCTCTACACAACTACCGGCACACTAACCTTCGGTTAGAGCCGACCCTTGACAGACCCGAGCCGCCACACAGATTCAACTTCAAAGAAGGGGGCCCAAGCTTGAAGGTCAGACGGGATCAGACGTTCGTGCATACTAGTAGTATTTTAGCATACCTGAGGATATCCTCGCCTGTGTTCGTATATCTTAGCTTAGAGCAGTACATATCCACATGTAGTAAAATTGTTTTAGTATGTAACACACTAGCATATGCTAGTACACAACAGTGTACTCCAGAATGTATACGCTAGCGTTCTCCCGATGCCCTCTCACAGGAACTGGTCGACAGGACGGCATGGCAAGTCTTTTGCACCAGGCCATGGGCCAACTGTACAATGATCCATGAAGCTTGGCATCTTCGACAAAGTGCTCTGTGTGGTGAGCGGAAAGTAAAAGGCCTACAGATAAGGGCATGCGAGTTTCAGCAAGCTTCTAATCAACTCAGAAAGTTGCCAGCTGTTAAGAAGCCAGGATGAAGCTTGACTAACCATGACATGACTGCTTGGCAGTACTTGTCCAAAACTGACATTGTAACCTACAGCCACATGACTGCTACATGTCTGCTACACATCTCCACGATAGCACGCTTCATAGCCTCTGAGCCGGCCTCTCTTCCCAGATGCTGGGGCCCCCCATTACTTGCTTCGCGCGAACAGATCCATTGAATGACCTGTTGCTCGACATACTGGGCAGCTTGGTTTGCAGTCGCACCTTTCTTGCCACTCAAACCACTGACGACAGCATTTGTGATGGAAAGTGTGGCCGCAGTGCAGAGTGAGCGGTTGATCCGAGTGTGGGCACCATCCGTCTGTATGCAAGTGTTCCTGACAAATAGCACATAGAGCCCCTTCAAGTGATGTCTCTGGACATGAAAACCCAAACTCATCCGCCATACCCATAGCACCAGAGATGATTTTGAATGCTTCTCCTTTCCTTCCTCTTCGCGAGTCTCCATACCGTCCATACCGTTCAGCCCGCAAACGCTTGACCAGCAGGGGAAATCGTTGACGTGTCTCATCGCAAGTGTCTGGATCAGCTTCTGGCAACCATCTTAGTGCATCAGCAGCCTCCAAACGTACGCCGTCATCACGGTCGTCAAGCGCTGTGCAGACCAACATCTCAAAAAGAGAGGCTCGACCTCGACCCTGTGCCTCGGCACAGAGGCCTAAAGACCCAAGAAGCTCCTTGGCGCCGCCACTCGCTATTGCACCCAGAGTCGCGCAAGCGCTCTTTCGAATCTTAGGCCGACCATCCTTCAAGCTTCTCAGCAGTGGATCAACGACACTGGCAACCGCAAGGCCTTCTCCTGCAATAGCAATAGCACTTAGCGCATCCAATGGTGCAGCAAGGGGAACACCATTTGCCTGAGTTGCCTCGAAGCATTGCATTATGCTCTTAACGTCTGGTGCTATCATGCCAGCAGCACCTTCTTCTGCCAGGACACGGTACAACGCAGAGACTTTTCTTTGGACAAGGATGTCCTGGTCTTCCAAACATGGTAGCAACGTGTTTGAGTGCAAAGCCACGGAGACGGCGTGGCCTTTTTCGGCAATGGAGCGCAATGCTCCAAGGATGGCTAACTTCACCGGTCCAGGTTGGGCAGGCTTCAACCCACACATCACAAGCTGCAACTGGCTAGCCATTACCACAGCGAAAGAATCACCTTTTGACAATTGCGCCAATGACTCGGCCGCCCTTTGACGGACATCCAAGTCTTTTGCAGCCAACTCTGTGCACAAGCGATTAAGGCAAAGGAAGTCTCTGCTGTCCTTGTTCTCTTTGCGAAGCCATCTGCTGGGCAATCCTCTGGCCACACCCCCGGCCAACGCTGGCACCACGGCACTCAGCTCCATCGAAGGTGACATTGGCACTGCTCTCAGCTTGCCTCGTGGTCTCAAGCCGAAGCATTGAAATGCTGAAACATGTCCTTCGGGACTTGCACAAACATGTGACGCAAGGAAAAGCCAAATCCTTGGCAAACTGACAAAGCATCCCCTCAGCAACCAGACGTGGCAATTGCCTGTCCTTGGGCATACTGAAAACCTGCAAACCCCGCGCCCTCTGATTTGATTCGTGGAGCGGGGAATGAGTTACACAACACGAACCGCCGTCACACATCTGCACAGTTGGAGATCACCCACACTTACGACTGAAGGGGGTGAGTGCACATGACTGCAGCCCAAGATCATGCCACTACAATTCTTTGCTTTTTTCCTCAGCTCGCAATCAGCCCGTCAATCAGCCGGTGGTGGAAACCGTTATCTTGCAGTCGGGGACGGGGCAGGCCCAAATTGTCTGCAGCTTCTCAAAGCCCTTGAGCGCGGCAGGTTTCAGGCACGCCGGGGGGCAGCAGCCTGGCTCAGTCTCAGTCTTGTCGGTGCCGACGAAAGACCATGTGCACTTCACCGTGCCCACAAGGTCGCACCGAGGCTCCCGGTCCCGGCTGAATACCTGCATCCAGGCCCGATGCAACCCAAAAATGCATCTAGCACGTCGATGCTTGTCGGAAAGACTTGAACAAAGGCTCAGGGCTTGTCTCACGAGGGCTGGGGCATGTGAGAGAAATCCCCGTCCTCTCGATGCGCGGGGTGGGACTGCACGGCCTCAATTGCCTTCCCACATTCCTTCATGCCGGGCTCCTTGAGGATCTCCTGGCACAAAGTTTCTGGGTCAATCATTGGCTTCACGCGTTGTGCATGCACAGTCTCTGACTCTGACTGCGACAAGTCGTGACAAGTCATTGCTTTGTTGCGAGGGTGTCGTGCCCGACACCCAGGATTCGGATTTCACAGCAGGAACCTTCGTGGGGATGCTCCAACAGGAAATCCTTTCAAAAATCAGGTCTGGGCCTCACGGACTCAGGGGGCACACAGCATCAACCGCGGGTACGCGCCTCAAACGGCGAAGGCTCCGTGGTGTGCAGCGCAGTCAAAGTTCTTGCGGCCAGGTCCATGTTCTGGCGCACAGACGCACCGAGCCTTGCGGGTACAAAGCGTCTTCTACCAAAGTCAACCCTTAACTTTAGACCCTAAGCCCGAAAGAGGGAAAGAGCCAGTAGGAGGCTTCAGGGTAAGCGAGTCGCAGTGCGGCTCACTACCAGTGCGGCACACTACCGGTGCCCTGACTACTTCGAGTTCGGTGGCCTTGACGGAGTCGGATGTTTCGTTCGGGTTTATGGCTTCTTGCCATCACTGCCACCGGGAAGCTGGGCAAGGCACACAACGGCAAGGAGGAAAGTCGTCCGGGCCATGACCACGTAGTCAGAATTAGGCAACCAACTCAGCTCTTGCAACCGAGGGCTTCAGCTTTTTGAACCAAGGGCTGCAATTCACAGCTCTAGCTTACAACTTTGGTGGTTCCGGCCTTTAGGGTTTAGGGGTTCACTGCCTGGGCATGGCTTTCACTGCCTGGGCAAGGCTTCTCATGCTCTGGTCATAGACATGAACCCTCGACCACTGAACCCCAAACCTTCAACCCTAAACCCAAAAGCAAACATGGGCCTGTTCTCTAGAAAGCTAGCTAGCATTTTGTGTCCGAGGGTGGACTGGGGCCTGGGCTGCAATACGCCTGTGCGAGCTATCAGCTTTTCCCGTACTTTCATCGCCGTCCACCCCGACAGCGGTATTGATACTCCAATGAGCTCAGGGGCCTAGTTCATGGGCGGAGTTGACAAAGCCTGTAATGTTGGAATTGTTTTCTATAATTCGGTTGACAATTAAAATATTCCCTGGCCCCGACATTTCCAGTGGTAGAGGAGTTTAGAAGGCGGACCCCCAGATCCGGCCAAACAAAGGATGTTGGGGCTCCGGTGATATTAATTAAAGGGGTGACAATTAAAAAGTTCCGAGCGAAAAGTTTTCAAAATTTTAGATCCTCCCTAGAAAGAAAACTTAATCAAAAACAAGCCGCAAGCCGAGACCCCCTAGACTCAGCCGGCAGACTGCAGTTCCTCAGACATTGCACTCGCTACTGGGCCTCGAGACAGAGGCTTTGCTGTTCGAGGGTTGCAGGCTTTGGCCTGAAGCCAGGGACTCCGGATTCCAGGAACTGCAGCAGCTAGTCTTGAGGCCTCTGCCTCACGTTTCACAAAGCCGGCAACCTTGAGGAAACCTGCGGATCGCAATAATAAGCGGGTGACAAGAATGAACTCCCGCGGGGACCCAGCCCAACCGTGGCCCGCCCCAGCCCAGCAGCCCAGCCCAAGTCCAGCACAGCCCAGCCCAGCCAGCCCAGCCAGCCCAGCCAGCCCAGCCCAGCCCAGCCCCAGTCTGGTCCCCGTCACACGTTTGATATCAGCAATGAGACAACAAATCTAGACACAGCGGCACAAGAAAATCAGGCAGACGTCTTACATTCAGACCTAACTATTGCAGTAAACCCTAAACTCCTACACCCCGACGCGTCTTGATGTCGATTTTTTTCGAAAAAAACATTGTATTATACACGGTAGTTGTTGAACTTCTATTCTCGGTTATGTACCAAGCCGACATACACAAAGAGTGATCACTTGTGCAGAGACTGCAAGAGACCTCCTTTCTAAGTACGGGAAAGAGATCCGGTGTATCGTCTTTACCTCTGGCAAAAATGGAAGAAAGCATGCGCTGAATAAAGTGTGGAGCTCTGTGTCGGCACGAAGGGACCTCCTGTCTCTTTTAGTCAGGGACGAGAACTCTTGACCATCTCCTCTTCCCCTTCAAAACTGGGGAAAGAGCTTACGGTCCCAGGCCCCTCTAACTTCTCCAAAAAGAAGAAAGCTCCGTTTTCCCCTCAGTCGGCACGAAGGACCTCTTGTCTCTCTTGGTCAAGGGCAAGAGCTTGGAAGAGCAAAATTCAAACCTTGACAAGAGAAGTCTTGTCCACTCTGCGGTCTTCTGAAGGAAATGAGAAACCTTCTACTAGATCCTTTGAAACAGAGCTCACTCCAAGTTACTCCTGCTAAAAGAAGAAAGTTCCTTTCTAGCAGCTTTTTTACTTTTTGGGAAGTCTTTCTTTTAATCTTGAGAAGATTCAGAGCTCGCTTCCAGTAAACATGGAGAGTTTCAGAGTTGTGGGTTTGGGAGTTGTGTGGTGGGTTGTCGTGGGAACTCTTCGCAGCATTTCAACTGCGCGCGCGCTCCAATCGCGGCGATTGTGGGAATGCGCGGTGGGTCACAACACTCTAGCTGTGCTCACAGGCGTTCATTCGTGTCAGTGCGAACCCAGATTTGCAGAGTTTTGTGGTGGAAGGTAAGAGGCAAGAGGCAAGATCAGGCCAGCGTTCTAGTTCCGCACCGCAGGTTTCAATGCGGCAAAAGGACTGCCAACGGACAATTTCCACCTTCAAGAGGTTCCTTGTACATGAGAATGTCATCCATGGGCCAGGTCAAAGCCGCTGCCAATGAATGGTTTCTTAGACCTGAGGAGTTGCCAATTTGTCAGGTCGCAATTTGAAACGTCTTCTTGCTTTGCCTCTGAAAACTCTGGAGGCCCCTCCAGCACTTGGCAAAAATTTCGACAATTTCCAGACCCAGAAGCGGGCCCGTGGACAGCATAGAAAAACTAAGTCTTCTCCAAATCTTGGAAGGAAACTGCAAGAAAAGCAAAGCACAGAAAACTTGCAAGTCTGTGTGGAAAATCATAGAAGCCGGAGAATCCTAGAAAGAAAGCCGGGAATTAGAATCCGTGTGGAAATGAAAGAAACTGCATGCTGCAGCAAAAAGAGAAACTCTGTGGACTGCAAACCAGAGTAGAAAAAAATCTGGTAAACTGCAGAACGACCACGATCTGCAAGCATTGCGGAAATCTGGGACCGCATGCAACACAATCACAAACTACAGAAAAAACCACGGAGAACAACTACAGCAGCAGAATGGAAAAACAGACTTCATTGGAGCCGTAGAAACACTGGAAACCTGCAAAGAGCAAAGAAAACCCAGATGACTCCGGAGAAGAACGGAAACGGATGCACACTGGAAATCTGTACGGGCAATATTGCTGACATGGGCGCTGTGCTCTTTTGGGCTGACGGTACCACCACTGCGTTGGCCCTTTCTCGGTCAGGCATTGTCACATTTTGAAGCTGCCAAAGGCCATCTTCTCGATCCTGTCCTTTCTTGAAAGTTTCTTCATGTAAGGCCCTTCGCACATCACATGTGCCCGTGGTTTCACATGGCCAATCTGACCGAGCAATCGCTTCGCTGGAGTTGCTAGCAACAATGATCGGGGTCCTTGTGTTTGGAACTACGCCATTCACACACGCAAATTTCATTTGCAGTGCAGCCACGGACTACCGCGTAACAGTCAGCTTACGGCGAGATGGCTGACGACTTCCTTTCCGTTGTGGCAGTGCTGATGGAGCTGTCGACTGTTCTACAAGGGAAGAGCCTCTCTCTCGAGTTGATTGGGCTCCCAGGCTGCAGAACTCATCCACCTTGCGAGTTGTTTCGTATCATCAGAGCCTGCAAAATGCAGGCTCGCATATTCCCAATCATTATCTTGGGAAAACGGGAAACATATTTGGGAGCACTCCAACACATTTCCGAATAACATATTAAGAAAAGGAGGTGAACAAGACAAGAAAACTTCCGACGGCCAAATGTTTTCGCTTCGAAGCTCGCTGTTTGAAGGTTGTGTGAAAAGGAAGGCGACCCGCAGTGTAACACATACACTGCAAGTTGAAGATGCATTTCGCGCCCTCAATCATGCGGATCTCTGGCCGACAATCTTGAAGCTTTGGAGAAGCGAGCAAGGTTCTTATCCTGAATCGCATGACTGCGCTTTCTGTCTTCCACTCAGCAATGTCCTTGTAAAGTGTGGACCCAAGGTCCAACATCTCTTTCATGATCACGGACTGGTAATTGCTGAAGGAACCGCCAAAGCTCAGGATTGAAACTTTCGAAATCTTGATCTGTCAAAGAATCTGCCAACTTGTCCATCGGAGTGAGTTTTTGAGTTTCAGTTTTGTGTTTTGGAGTGTCTTTACCTTGAAAACGTTTTTCTTGATTTGTTTGTTCTATATCTTTGCATGTCGCGAAATTCCATGCCATGAACTTTGATTGTTTTAATCAACGAAATTTTTGATTGGACACCCGAATCATGTTTGTTGATTGGGTGATGAATCATGCTATTTCGTTGTACCCACTCACCCACACCTGGGGGCATGATTGAGGGTGCGAAATGCATCTTCAACTTAGCAGCGTATGTATTACACTGCGGGTCGCCTTCCTTTTCACACAACCTTCAAACAGCGAGCTTCGAAGCGAAAACATTTGGCCGTCGGAAGTTTTCTTGTCTTGTTCACCTCCTTTTCTTAATATGTTATTCGGAAACATATTGGAGTGCTCCCCCAAATATATTTCTTGTTTTCCCATTTCCCAAGATAATAATTTGGGAATATGCGAGCCTGCGTTTTGCAGGCTCTGATGATACGAAACAACTCCCAAAGCAAAGGAAGAGCCACAGGCCCCGAAAGCAAAGGGAGAGCTGACGCCGGCCCCCAAAGCCAAGGGCAGCCGTGCCACGGCCCCGACGCAAACAATCTTCAGTCTGGGGCGTACCAAAACGCTGAGACCTCCCAACAGGAGTCTCATCGGAAGATCTACAGCGGAATGATAGGCACCAAGGAGTCAAGGGGAA